CAAAAGCCCTGTAATAGCTAGGACTTTAAACTTTCCGAACTTTTAATTTCCGCAAACTATAAACTGCTTAGATGTATGTTAATAGGATTGTATGTAAAGACTAACTGAAAATTAATATAGTAGAAAACCCTAAATGTGCACAGATAAATTAACTGAAAACATACACTCGCACATGCTCACTCCTAGAGTTTTCCCCACTCCGATTGCCTTTGGTAAACGGTCATGAAGTATAGGGTTTGTTAGTGGTCATCCTCTAGTCCCAAAAGATCTAAAATGATCCATTCAGATGTTGCCTCGGAAAAAGATCTTCAAGGATTTAGGATGATTACTAATATTTCCTAGCATTGCTTTTGTGATCGTACATGTCCCTTCGAATGTCCCTAAAAAACTCCAACGATGGTGCTACCTATTTCTCAATAATGGGATAGCATTGTCTAAAAGGAAATCGAACAAACCTTTTTCGAGTAGGTAGATTAGTTCCTAGGTACTTGCTCAAACAAACAAACTTTTTCACACCAACACTTTTCAAACAAAGTTTTCAAAAACAACTTCGTAACACTCTTGAGGACAGAAACAAGGGTTAACACGAAGTAAAACAAAACTTTTCAAAACAAAGCACACACAAGCAGTTTTCAAAATGAGCAAGTACCTAAGAGCCCATGGAAAACCATGGATAGAAAGGGTGCTAACACCTTCCCTTTCTATAATCTACCCCCCGTACTCAGAAACATCTCGAAAAAGGTTTTTTCTGTTCTTTTTCCTTTTCCTGATTGGATAAAATAAAAGTCGGTGGCGACTCTTGCTTACCGTGACATTTTGCGAACAAAAAATGCAAACCAGTATTAACCGTCAGTTCTGCCACCGTATCACACCAACAATAGAGCTTCCTACTAACTAATGGTAGGATAACACTATCTAAAAGAGGAGGAAAATAACACGAAAGACTTTTGAGTAAGTAGATCACTCGTAATCGCTTGCTCACAAAAACAAAACATCTTTTTTTCATAAACACTTATTCTGAAATATTTTCAAAAACAAACACTTTATACACATTCTTAACTGATACAAGAATCATTACAAAGTTGTCGTACTTACGCATTTTCAAAATATTTTCAAACACAGACACACAAAGCATTTTAAAAGCAAAGTGAGCTAGCGATTAAGAGTCCGTAGATAACTACAGATAAAAAAGGTGCTAACACCTTCCCTTTTCATAATCTATCCCCCGAACTCAGAAAATTCTCAAAGATCTTTCATGTTCTTTTCACCCTTTCCTTTATTGGATAAAAGAAAAGTCGGTGGAGACTCTTGCTATCCGTAACATTTGTGATAAAACACAAAAATAAGTCAGTTCTCCCAACGTATTACACACCACTACAAAATTATCAGTATCGTAAAACATAGTAGTAATAAAATATGGTAGTAAAAAAAATTGAACTACCAGAAATTTCAAAATTTCTGGTATTCTGTGATGAATCAAAATTTTTAAAACTTTCGATATAAATGGTAAACGAAAATACTAGTTATTTTGAAATTTCTGGTATGAAAATACATGATATTTTGAAATTTCTGGAACAAAATACAGGAAATTTCACAAATCTACCGTAAATTCTCACTTGTTCGCGAAATTTCTGGTATCGCCCAAGAAATTTCCGGTATTGCCCAAAAAATTGAAAAATTCGATTGGTAACGTGAATTTGGAATCTATGGTGAATGATATCGATTTGGACAATTTGGTCTTTTCATACCATTTGGGGAGTGCCGTGTATAACATTGGGGGTGACAAGTTAATTTCTCATTAATAATAAACCACTTAAGCAGTAAAATAAGGAAGCAAATGAGAATTTAACATACCACCTCCAAAATTATACATGGCACCCCCCAATTTTTTTATTCCATTTTTACCCTTGGATGAGTTGTACATAATTCCCAGACAAAATTTCTGGTAGAAGGATTGAAATTTCTGGTACCATCCAAATTTCCGGTACACCCCTGCGAAATTTCTGGTACCATAAATTTCTGGTAGTGTATATACAATTTCCGGCATATCGGAAATTTCAATTTATTTGAAATTTTCGGTAGTATTAAAAACATGGTTTTTTGAATGACTGGGATTTTGCTGACATATTTGGATGGTTCTGATTGCACCGACACATTTGTGTGGTCTAGAATGCATCATCATTTATATAAATAGAGGCATCTGTTATAGAGAAAATACATCTAAAAAAACGCATCTTTCTTAATTTCTGATTAAGGTAGAAGTCTATTACAACGACTTCAACCCTCCTGTTGAATTTAAGTTTCCAAACAGCTCCGAATTATTTGCCACCTTGAGTCTTTCGGAAGTGCCGATCTAGGTTTTCTCATTTTGTTATTTTTGGTTTATGTTTGTTGTACTGTTTTATGTTTGTTGTTTTTGATTTATGTTTGTTGTACTGTTTTATGTTTGTTGTACTGTTCTAGGATTTCACCAAAAAAAATGCAATAAATAAGATGTTTATTTGTCACAAAATATACATATTATACAACTAAAATAAAATAGATCTACATAGGTCCTCCACAAGCTACATCGACTAACCTAGTTAAACCTCTATAGATCTTACCATCTGGGTTTACCAAACCCGTGAGACTATCATCATGAACTACAATAATCTGGAGTCGAATGTCCTGATCTCTTGCAGGTGGTGGAGGTGGTGGTGGTAGCTCGATAGATGGGCTATCACCAGAAGGCTCCGGGACATCAACTGCTACAACCGGTGGTATGACCGAGGATGTGACACACTGTGAAACCACTCCATGTATTCATGTTTGCACTGCCCAGACTGCTGAACCTCAACAACTGTATCCATGATCTTACGGGGGAGGTGAAGATGTGACTCTGAAACCATATATTAATTATACCAGATAGAGACTCTGGAACTGGACGAGGGATGCTCTGTACATAACCATACTGGCGTAAACACCTCTTAGGCAAGTGTCTAGCCATATCGCTCTCCCATCTAATATGCCCTGAATATAAAGTAGATACCTCAAATGAAGGATGAAAGCGATGGGATGTATAGAGTGTCCAGACAACATCATCCAAGGTCAGAGCGTCAAGCCTCCTCCGATACTCCATCAAACCTTCTGGAATGGCCTGCTTGGCCTTCCATCTCCTCGCACATGGCTGAGGTGCCATGACACGCTGGATCTTCCGCTCATATATGTGAGGGAAGTGCTCGTATATCCAACACTACATAAATAAAAACCATCATATAAATACACTCAAATAATTAATAAAAACCATCAAATAAATTATAGTATACCTGTAACAAGCTCAGGTAACCAGTAAGCTGTCTGGTCTCAGGATGAGAAGCAACTTCAAGTGTCGAGTACAACATGGTCAAGGCCGCCACTCCCCAAGCCCATCATGGAGTGTCAAGTGCGATGAAGAGAGACAAGTATCGAACATCAATATAAACTTCACACTTGTCCGTAAAGAGAGTACATGCCACCAAATATAACATGTACGCTCTAGCGGCAACCTCGTACATTTGTGCCTCCATAAGCTCCTTATACAAGCTCCTCAGCCAAGACATCCGAAGGTAAAACCCTCGAGTCTCACCAAACTCCTTCAGCACCTCCGCCTCAGAACACTTCAAATCCTCCATAACCATGCGGAGGCCGTCGCTAGTCCCTATAAGCTGGTGTAAAAATGTACCAGCAATCAGAATGTGAAAAGGGCGTCCACATCATCTAAAGTCACCGTCATCTCCCCAAATTGAAGATGGAAGGATGATGTCTCCGGGTGTCACCTCTCAACAAAAGCTGATAAAAGGGAGGCGTCCAACATGGTCAAGGAACAACCAACAGACTCCAGGAGATGAACTCGCTAACGATCCTCCTCACCTCCTCAAGCATGGGACTCTCAGGGAAGTTCTTCAACTTCGACTCACGAGAAGCGACCTTCAACACTGGACGCTCTTGTAAGAAGCAAAAACAAATTATTATACATCAGATGCTGTAAGCAAAAATAAAAATTATGCAATTACACAAAACCAAAAATATCTATATCTTGCCTTGCCATATCCTATACGCGACATGGTCCGCAAATCCTGTCAGTACAAACCTGTCTGAAGGTCCTCCAAGGAATCCTCCATCAATGTATATTGATAGTTCTGTAGACGCACGAGTCGTGGTGTGTGTATTAATGAGGGAAACCTCATCAACTCGCTCATCAACAACCTCCTGCTAAGGCTCATACACCACAGGCTCCACAATAAGAGCAAAAGCCTGTACCTCATCAGCTACCAGCTCCATAATAGGAGCATGGCTCCTCAGTAGGAGCAGGAGCCTGCACCTCCTCGGTGGATACTCTATGACCCCGACAACGGGGTGTGCAGAACTGCACATTCTGCTTAACCATCCGTTTTTGGTGAGAATCGGTCGGAGAATGACGTCCAGCCCATAGCTCTGAAGTCTGTGCCTCGTCAGCACGAGCTTTAGCATCAGCTCTGTCAGTGGTCCGTCCCTCAATGGAATCATCTATGCCTCTAGTCTTCACTTCAAAATAAGAAAATATTAGGAAAATAAAAATTATCGGAAATTTCAAAATTTCTGATAATTTTTCAAAAAAAATTGTATCGAAAATTTCAAAATTTTCGGTACTGTGTGACGCACCGGAAATTTCAAAATTTCCGATATAACTACTAAATGAAAATACCGGATATTTCGAAATTTTCGATACGAAAATACCAGATATTTTGAAATTTCCGCTACAAAGTACCAGAAATTTCACAAAAATACCGTAAATTCTTACTATTTCGCAAAATTTCCGATAGCGCCTTCAAAATTTCCGGTATCGCCCAAAAATTTAAAAATTCCAATTGTTAACGGAAATTTGAAATTTATAATGAATGATTTAGGTCAGAGAAATTTAGTCTTTTCATACCTCTTAAAAATAAATGTATAATATAAGAGGTGTCAAGTTAATTTCTCGAAGCAAAACTGGTAACACAATTGTGGATTCCGATTTCCTTTATACTACATATCAACTTCTCTCATTGAAAAGACGATTTTACCCTCGATTCAAAATCGCAACAACCAACCCGAGTCAGAAACCATCCATACCAAAATCAAAAGCCTATTTTACATTTGCATCCATTTTCACTCTCTTCTTCGTTTTCCCTTCACTCACAAACTTGATTAAATCTTCCACAAAACTGAAAAACAGAGCCTCACATTCATCACTGATCGAGGTTCTCTCGCACTTCATTTCACAATTCCGAGTTTCTTTTCCATTATTTGTTAGCATTAAATCAAAATGTAACGGTGGTTATGATTAGGTTATCAATTTTCGTAACGGTACATGATTTGTTATTGTTATTATTGTGAATTTGATTGTTACTATACATTCTGAATGATTTGGGAAATTCGATTGCTTCGGTTAGCGTTTATCTCTTCCAATTCCAGGTTTCTCTTTGGTGATTGATGATTATGTCACTGTGCGTTAAGTTTTCTGCGAATTCTATATTAATATGCGATTTGAGTGGTGAATGAGTTGGAGATTTGGCTGAATGTAATTGAAAGGAGGCATGGAAATTGGAAATGCAGGATTTAGTGCACGGTGTAACTATTAATTGAGATATTAGACTCTTAATGTTATTTAATGACATGCAGTGGCTGAAAATTTAATAGTTACACGCTGATGGAAGTTATTTGGGGAGTAGATCAGGACATGTACTGGGGAAAAAGCTTTGATTATGTAATTTAAGCTCTCAATTCACAAACTATGATTTGGCTTTTTCGTGTTGCTTGTTGTTTATGTAATGTCGTGGTTTTATTTGAGGTTGCATTGCTTTGGTTACTTTTCTTGCTTTTCGGTGAAGTTATTGATTCTGCTGAGCTCAATTTTGTCTTTTGATGGGCTATTTAGTATTGTTTTTGTAATTTACTTATTTTGCATTGCATAGTCTGCTCGAAATCTTGACATTTGCAATATGCCTTAAATCTCAATACAAATTTCTGTTACTGGACATTGGATGTACTATGAATTGTTGCTATATTTGAAAAGAATTAGATGTAAGGGAGGTTTTACTTGGGCTATATTTGGATAGTTCAAAATGAACGGAAAGAAGTGGAGGATATCCCATTCCATTGTTTGGATATTTTAGGATGGAATGTAATAAAAATTGTTATTCCGCCCAAATCTGAAGCAACAAAAAATGAAGGTAAGTAATGGAATTGGATGGAATGCATTTCATCGAGTTCCGCTCCATTCCATCCTCTTTTTATCAATCTAAACAATGGAATATAGCATTATTTCATTTCATTCCGCTCCATTCCGTCACATTCTATCAATCCAAATATAACCTTAAGTTCAAAGGTGATGGGTTAGGCCTAATGCATGGTATAGTTGACAGTGTTTCGGAAGCTGACATGGCCTGGAGACTTAAAAGTTCTCTTGTACAGAAGCTAATATAGTTGTTCTAGAAGCTCCAAGATTGGCGGGGAGATTTTGCATTTCTTCTGGTATTGATATCTTGTTAGTGGGTTTAGTTTGATAAATTCATCTGAGACATGTTTTGAAAATTCAGTGGATTTATAAATTTTCTCTTGCAACACTTGTGCACTGCAGCAAGTTATTCCGTTAAGGTTACCGGCTACCACATCTGTAATGTATCCTGCAGACCATTTTCAAATATAAGTTGTATATTTTATTTTATGTGGGGTGACTTGTGTGGTTGAAGCTGAAGCAAATAATTTATCATATTCATAGTATGCCACCCTTTTCATTATCTTAATTACTCTGGGATATATGTGCTATGTTATTTATCATTTTTTTCCACCACAGTTTCGGCAATGCACCACGTGGGTAGTGTAGGGAACCCAAATAATGCAACTCGCCCACGCAAGGAGAAGAGATTGACATATGTGTTGAATGATTCTGATGACACAAAGGTAACACAATATTTCTCTATTATATTTATTCCAAAAAATGACCAAGTTTCATGTTTGTCATATCCTGTTTCTATAACCCCATAGACCTTTTCTTTGACATATGCCTCAAACTTGTGAACTAGATGAGGCTGTGAACCTGGTTGTTTCATGAAAAAACCACCTTTTTAAAAAAGAAAAATCACTTTTGATTTTCAACATTTTTTAAGCTTTTAAAAATAATCTGAATCTGAAAAAAACTGTATTTTGAGTACAATGACAAATTATTGAGTAACTTCTTCTGAAATATACTGATTATTATTATTATGAGTGTGATAGACGAGAGAAAATGTTAAATAAGTTATCTTTTTATAATTTTGAACAAACACAAACTACCATGTACTTTACATAAAAATTTCAAAAATCAATAATCACTTTTTATACATAAAAAACACTTCTTTTATATTACTGACTGATTGGCAGATTGTGATGTTCTTTTAGTTAATAAAGTTGTATTCATATTTTTTTGGCCAACATTAAACCATTTGGCTGCATATTTTCTTTCATCCTTATTGTTAATATTGATCACTAACCTTACAAACAGTTAAAGCTTCATCAATAGTTTTTCTATACACTTTGGTACCTGTTACCTTCTGACTTGGTACTTGGCGTTTTGCGTCCAAAAGTACATATAATTTTCTGCATCAGCCTTGCTGGTTTTAATTGAAATTTCTTCAAAATTTGAAGATTTTCTATGTTGATCTATCTATATTACTCAAATGTTTCCCCCCCTTTCTGCAGCATTGTGCAGGCATAAATTGCTTGGCTGTACTGAAGTCCGAATCATCTGATGAGTCTGATTATCTTTTCACTGGAAGCCGTGATGGTAAACTAAATAGGTGGGCACTCTCTGGGGATGCAGCGACCTGCTCTGCGACCTTTGAATCTCACTTGGATTGGGTAATTCTTCTCTCTCTAATCAAAATTTTCACACACACTACAATTGTCTGGTGACCCATGGTTTATTAAGAATTACCTCACAAACACAATTTTTTTACTTTCTAGGGTTAGCGATGATGCTTTAGTTACACTACTTCCCCCCTATAGTTTCCAATAATTTCCTAAGATAGATATGTAAGTGAACTTCATGTTAATCATGTAGTAGTTTTATCTCTTAAACACCAAATTTGATGATCAGGTTACAAGGTACATGTGAAACAGCAGGGGAAAGCTATTCACTATGCTATGTGCAAATTATATATTGTTCTTGGGAGCCTAGAATATATTATAGCAACCCTATATGCGAAGTGCGATTAAGATGAATATTATTTTCCTATTTCTAGTCTTTTATCTGCAAAGATAGTTTGTAGTTGTTCTAAGATTAGTTGATACAAAATTTTATTTATATATTTTAGGAGCTCTTAGAATTTGGGTTTAGGGCATAACTCAAGCCCATAAATCAACTTGAAAGATGAGGTCTATCGATGCTTGTAACTACTACGTATGTCATCTTTACAGTTAGTGGAACTCTCAACCAGTGTATGCAGGATCACAAGTCAACAAGCAAACTCATCCGATCCAACGTCCGTATCACATGTCGGCGTGCTGCGATTCAGGTGGGATTGTATGTAGCAAACTCGACGAACTCGCATGAGTTGGGAAGCAAACTCGTTTTGAATTCAGAGATGTTGTACATAGTCTTTTTGGGTTTTTTTAAAGAAAAAACCCTAAATTTTTAAAATGGGCCTGGATCCGGGTCGGGTTTATATTCGAGCTATCTGAGATACATATGGAGGAGTATCGACTAGTGTGCGAACACAGGGTGGCAAGACAGACGATTTCTCCATTACAATAGATTTGTATTAGGGCCGACTTGCTACGATCCAGGTGGGATTGTATGTAGCAAACTCGACAAACTCACACGAGTTGGGAAGCAAACTCGTTTTGAATCCAGAGATGTTGCACATAGTCTTTTTGGGTTTTTTTAAAAGAAAAAACCCTAATTTTTTAAAACGGGCCTGGATCTGGGTCGGGTTGTATATTCGAGCTATCTGAGATAGGTTTTCGTCAAGGTTCAACCCTAATTCCCTACCTTTTTACTTTAATTTTGGATGTGCTTACGAAACACATCAAAGAGTTAGCATCGAGATGCATGTTTTTTACCAATGATAGAATTCGTTCAAAGTTTTAGCTACTCAATCCTTCAGTGAGAATATATGCAAGTTGCCCTTGTGAGGACACATATTGGGTACAAATCAACACGTTATCAAGCTTCTCATTATTAGAGTTATATCTTAGGATATGAAAAATCAGCACTATAGAATAATTAAGGCCAACCTTAATTTAATAGAATAAGAAAAGTTCAGCACTATAGAATAATCAAGGTCATCCTTAAATGTAGAGCTTGAATGATTCAACTCTTGAATGTTCAACTCCTCTTGTATAAGTAGAGCATCATGCTCCATTTCAATTCAAGATAATAACAAAATCAATTTCTCTCTTTTCTCTTTTAGCTTTCTCTCTCTTCTTTCTCATATTTCACTATAATATGGTATCAGAGGAGTTAGCATTCAAGAGGAGTTGAACATTCAAGAGTTGAATCATTCAAGCTCTACATTTAAGGATGACCTTAATTATTCTATAGTGCTGAACTTTTCTTATTCTATTAAATTAAGGCTGACCTTAATTATTCTATAGTGCTGATTTTTCATATCCTAAGATATAACTCTAATACTCACTAATGAAATGTCTATCAACTTTAATATGCTCAGTTCGATCATGTTGAACTGAATTATGTGCTATAGTGATAGCTGACTTATTATCATAGTAGAGTTCCCATTTGATTTTCAAATCTTCTAAAATAATTGAGCCAAAGTAATTCACAAAGGCATTGTGCCATGACTCGAAATTAAGCTTCAACACTAAAAGGTGCTACTACGTTTTGCCTCTTACTCCTCGTAGTCACAAGATTTTCTCTAAGAAAAGTGCAGTACCCTCCAAGAAAGGTGCAGTACCCTGTAGTGGATCACTTATCAACAATTGACCCTGCATAGTCTGCATTAATGTAGAACTCAAGGGTTGTATTTTTATTTCTTTAGCACTGTTATTCAAGAGTTTGGTATGACGCGATGTGAAACTGATCATTCAGTGTTTTATCGTCACTCAGTTGTTGGGTGTATTTACTTAATTGTGTATGTGTACGACATTGTCATTACAGGTAATGATCATCATGGAATCACACAGGTAAAACAACACCTTTGTCATCATTTCCAGACAAAAGACCTCGGAAGACTTCGTTATTTCTTGGGCATAGAGATTGCCCAATCCAAACGGGGGATTGTGATTTCACAAAGGAAGTATGCTATGAATATTTTGGAGGAGACATGACTGTTAAATTCCAAGCCAGTTGGCACTCCGATGGATCCCAATGCTAAACTTATGCCAGCTCAGGGGGAGCCACTCTCCGATCCTGGAAAATATAGAAGATTAGTTGGAAAACTGAATCACCTCACTGTTACTCGCCCAGATATTTCATTTCTTGTTAGTGTGGTAAGTCAATTTCTTAACTCTCCTTGTGAAGGGCATTGGGAAGCTGTGATTCATATCTTGAAATATATTAAAGGAGCTCCAGGAAAATGCTTACTCTATGAAGACAAGGGACACACTCGAGTTGTAGGATACTCAGATGCAGATTGGGCAGGTTCTCCTTCTGATAGGAGATCCACCTCAGGTTATTGTGTTTTCTTGGGTGGTTACTTAATTTCCTGGAAGAGTAAGAAACAAAGTGTAGTGACAAGGTCAAGTGCGGAAGCAGAATATCGAGCCATGGCAATAACAACCTGTGAGCTTATATGGCTTAAATAATTGCTTCACGACCTGAGATTCGGGGATGTTTCACAGATGACACTTATTTGTGACAATCAGGCAGCTCTGCATATTGCATCAAATCCAGTGTTCCATGAGAGAACCAAACACATTGAGATTGATTGTCATTTCATCAGAGAGAAGATTTTATCTAGAGACGTCAGCACTAGTTTTGTCAATTCAAATGATCAGTTAGCTGATGTTTTCACTAAGCCTTTGAGAGGTTCTCGAATTAATTATATTTGTAACAAGCTTGGTGCATATGACATATATGCTCCAGCTTGAGGGGGAGTGTTAGATATCAGAATATTCCATATTATGTAAATAGAATATTCTGTAAGTAATTAGGATATCATGTAAATAGGAAATAAAATATTATGTAATTATTATAGAATATTATGTAATTACTATGACATTTATGCCTCCTATTATATATAATGAGCTCCGATGTGTAATTCACACACACGGATTCAATCCAACCTTCCTCTTGTTCTCTCATTATTCAAGAGGTAACATACCGCAACACAATTTTTTTTAGATGGTGGACGGAAACACTTGTATCCCTTTTGAGTAGAGGAATACCCGACAAAAACACATCTTAGGGCTCTAGGATCGAGTCTTTTTCCTGTATTAACTATGCACATGGACAAATGAGACACCCAAAGATTCGAGGTTTAAGATTA